GTGCCACGAAGCATTGACTGGAATGTCCCCAGGTCCTTCGAATTCCTTGCATCGGAGGTTAGGGGGTGTGAACGGAAATGGCCCCAACTGGGAAATCGGTTTCGGTTTCGGTTAATGTCGTGCGTGCGGGCGAGGCGAAGCTGCGCGAGTTCCTGCAGCTGTAGAGGCCACATGGAGCCCAAAAGGTCGCCCGCCCCCCCGCCCCCCGGGGCCGGGCGCGGCCCCCCATGGTTGTCCCGCGGGTTGTCTTGATGGTTGTCCCGATGGTTGTCTCGATGGTTGTCCCGGTGGGTGTCCCGACGGTTGTCCCGATGGTGTTGTCCCGATGGTAGTCCCGATGGTTGTCCCGATGGTGTTGTCCCGATGGCGTTGTCCCGATGGCGTTGTCCCGATGGTGTTGTCCCGATGGCGTTGTCCCGATGGCGTTGTCCCGATGGTGTTGTCCCGATGGTTGTCCCGATGGTTGTCCCGATGGTTGTCCGATGGGTGTCTCGATGGTTGTCCCGATGGTTGTCCCGATGGTTGTCCCGATGGTTGCCCCGATGGTTGTCCCGATAGTTGTCCCAGTGGGTGTCCCGATGGTGGTTGTCCCGATGGTGGTTGTCCCGATGGATATCCCGATGGTTGTCCCAGTGGGTGTCCCGATGGTTGTCCCGATGGTTGTCCCGATGGTTGCCCCGATGGTTGTCCTGATGGTTGTCCCGATGGTTGTCCCGATGGTTGTCCCGGTGGGTGTCCCGACGGTTGTCCCGATGGTATTGTCCCGATGGATGTCCCGATGGTAGTCCCGATGGTTGTCCCGATGGTGTTGTCCCGATGGTGTTGTCCCGATGGTGTTGTCCCGATGGTTGTCCCGATGGTTGTCCCGATGGGTGTCCGATGGGTGTCCCGATGGTTGTCCCGATGGTTGTCCCGATGGTTGTCCCGATGGTTTCCTGATGGTTGTCCGATTTGTGGTTGTCCCGATGGGGTTGTTTTGCCCCGATGGATATCCGATGGTTGTCCCTATGTGGGGTGTCCCGGATGGTTGTCCCGATGGTATGTCCCGATGGTTGCCCCGATGGTTTGTCTGATGGTTGTCCCGTGGTTGTTCACGATGGTTGTCGGTGGTGTCCCGAAGGTATGTCCCGATGGTTGCCCAGATGGTTGTCCCGGATGGTAGTCCCGATGGTTGTCCCGATGGTGTTGTTCCGATGATATTCCTGGTCCCGATGGTGGCCCCCCTATGGAATGTCCCGATGGGGTGTCCGATGGGTGTCCCGATGGCTGTCCCGATGGTTGCCCCGATGGTGCGCCCGATGGTTGTCCCGATGGGTGTCCCGATGGGTGTCCCGATGGGTGTCCCGATGGTTGTCTGGACGGTTGTCCCGATGGTGGTTCCGATGGTGTTGCCCCGATGGTGTTGTCCCGACGGTTGTCCCGATGGTGTTGCCCCGATGGTGTTGTCCCGATGGCTGTCCCGATGGTGTTGTCCCGATGGTGGTCCCGATGTTGTCCCGATGGGTTGTCCTGATAGTTGTCCGATGGTGTTGTCCCGATGGTGGTTGTCCCGATGGATATCCCGATGGTTGTCCCAGTGGGTGTCCCGATGGTGGTTGTCCCGATGGTGGTTGTCCCGATGGATATCCCGATGGTTGTCCCAGTGGGTGTCCCGATGGTTGTCCCGATGGTTGTCCCGATGGATGGTTGTCCTGATGGTTGTCCCGATGGTTGTCCCGATGGTTGTCCCGGTGGGTGTCCCGACGGTTGTCCCGATGGTATTGTCCGATGGATGTCCCGATGGTAGTCCGATGGTTGTCCCGATGGTGTTGTCCCGATGGTGTTGTCCCGATGGTGTTGTCCCGATGGTTGTCCCGATGGTTGTCCCGATGGGTGTCCGATGGGTGTCCCGATGGTTGTCCCGATGGTTGTCCCGATGGTTGTCCCGATGCTTGTCCCGATGGTTGTCCCGATGGTTGTCCTGATGGTTGTCCCGATGGTGGTTGTCCCGATGGTGGTTGTCCCGATGGATATCCCGATGGTTGTCCCAGTGGGTGTCCCGATGGTTGTCTCGATGGTTGTCCCGATGGTTGCCCCGATGGTTGTCCTGATGGTTGTCCCGATGGTTGTCCCGATGGTTGTCCCGGTGGGTGTCCCGACGGTTGTCCCGATGGTTGCCCAGATGGTTGTCCCGATGGTAGTCCCGATGGTTGTCCCGATGGTGTTGTCCCGATGGTATTGTCCCGATGGTGTTGTCCCGATGGATGTCCCGATGGGTGTCCGATGGGTGTCCCGATGGTGGTTGTCCCGATGGTTGTCCCGATGGTTGTCCCGATGGTTGCCCCGATGGTTGTCCCGATGGTTGTCCTGATAGTTGTCCCGATGGTGGTTGTCCCGATGGTGGTTGTCCCGATGGATATCCCGATGGTTGTCCCAGTGGGTGTCCCGATGATTGTCCCGATGGTTGTCCCGATGGTTGCCCCGATGGTTGTCCTGATGGTTGTCCCGATGGTTGTCCCGATGGTGGCTGTCCCGATGGATTCCCGATGATTGTCCCGGTGGTTGCCCCGATGGTTGTCCCGATGGTTGTCCCGATGGTTGCCCCGATGGTTGTCCCGATGGTTGTCCCGATGGTTGTCCCGATGGTTGTCCCGATGGTTGTCCCGATGGTTGTCCCGACGGTTGTCCCGATGGTTGTCCCGATGGTTGTCCCGATGGGTGTCCGATGGGTGTCTCGATGGTTGTCCCGACGGTTGTCCCGTTGGTGTTGTCCCGATGGTGTTGTCCCGATGGTTGTCACGTTTGGTTGTCCCGATGGGTGTCCCGATGGTTGTCCCGATGGTCGTCCCGATGGTTGTCCCGATGGTTGCCCCGATGGTTGTCCTGATGGTTGTCCTGATGGTTGTCCCGATAGATGTCCCGATGGTGGCTGTCCCGATGGATGTCCCGATGGTTGTCCCGATGGTTGTCCCGATGGTTGTCCCGATCATTGTCCCGACGGCCGCCCGATGGTTGTCCCGATGGTTGTCCCAATGAGTGTCCCGATGGGTGTCCCGATGGTTGTCTCGATGGTTGTCCCGATGGTTGTCCCGATGTTGTCCCGATGGTGTTGTCCCGATGGTGTTGTCCCCATGGTGTTGTCCCGATGGTTGTCCCGATGGTTGTCGCGATGGTGTTGTCACGATGGGTGTCCGATGGTTGTCCCGATGGTTGTCCCGATGGTTGCCCCGATGGTTGCCCCGATGGTTGTCCCGATGGTTGTCCTGATGGTTGTCCCGATGGTTGTCCCGATGGTGGCTGTCCCGATGGATGCCCCGATGGTTGTCCCGATGGTTGTCCCGATGGTTGCCCCGATGGTTGTCCCGATGGTTGTCCTGATAATTATCCCGATGGTAGTCCCGATGGTGTTGTCCCGATGGTTGTCCCGATCGTTGTCCCGGTGGTTGCCCCAATGGTTGTCCCGATGGTTGTCCCGATGGTTGCCCCGATGGTGTGCCCGACGGCTGTCCCGATGGTTATCCGGATGGTTGTCCCGATGGTTGCCCCGATGGTTGTCCCGATGGTTGTCTCGGCGGTTGTCCCAATGGTTGTCCCAATGGTTGTCCCGACGGTTGTCCCGATGGTTGTCCCGATGGTTGTCCCGATGGTTGTCCCGATGGTTGTCCCGATGGCTGCCCCGATGGTTGTCCCGATAGTTGTCCCGATGGTTGCCCCGATGGTTGTCCCGATGGTTGCCCCGATGGTTGTCCCGATAGATGGGTAGGTAGATAGGTAGATAGACAGACAGACAGAAAGATAGGTGGGCGTCCTGAATAGATTGAAGAAACCACCACAAAGCCCTGAACCATTGCAAATCGACCGCCTCCCCCTCCCCCCCCCCAACCTCCTTGTCACCCGAAGGGTGGTCCTATCGGTACGGGTACCCAACATGTTCCGTAAGCGCCACTGACCCCAGATCCCCGGAATGATCGGGCGCCCCTTGGCGCTCTTGGGTTCCTGCTGGGGCAACGAAGCGTGCGAGGGGTGTGCCGAAATGGGTAAGGACCCCTCCTGCAAACGTGAAGCTCCCCATGGGCCACCGAAAAGTGTGAGGGGTGTGCCCCTCAGACAAACGTGGCCATTGGGGCTCTCTCGGTGAAGCTCGCTATGGGGCAAACAAGTGCGAGGACACCTCATGAAAACGTAGCCACTGGGGCCCGCGGTGGAGCTTCCTATGGGGCGGAGGGCAGAGGCAGGAGGGAAGAGGGAGAGGAAGGAGAAGTGGGACGCGGGGCACTGCGGATTCACAGCAAGGACCACACTCGCCACATGATGGTTGAGAAAAACAATCACAGGGATGGAGGGCTGGTCGTTTTGAAATGCGGCAATCGCCTTAGCGCCACGAACACTCGGTTGAAAAATTTGTCCGACGGCTACAAAAATCGAACCTGGCACGTGTCCGAAATGCGGGTGTCGCTCGAAACTACATCATAATGCCACGACCTGAGGTTCTTGCGCAATAGCTACACGCTGGACGGTGGCTCCTTTTCAACATGGGGCTCTCGCTTCAGACTTCCTCAAGTATTGGGAACCAAACTTTTAATTAGTTGAACACTAACGCAGGTAGAAGACTGTTCATCTGAAAGGTGGCCTATCCCTTGACACTTCTTTGAACCTTATTGTCCTCCATGCTTACGTTTCTTTCAGCTAGAAGGGTGGAGGGCAGATCCGCACTAGGCAATAGCAGTGCATAGCGATGCAAAGTACCAGATAGCATAGCAGGATATATAACTGCATGTCATAGCATGGCATGGCATGGCATGGCATTCCGTCGCTCAGCATGGCACAACCTTGTGCAACTGGCGTAGCATTGCTTAGGAAGACAAAGTAACCAAATGTTATGCCAAGTTGTGCAAACGTTGCAGAGCACGCCAACAAAAACACAAAGCAACGACAAACTGGCGCAGGGGCCGCGGTTGACGCACCCGACGACGGCTCCGCGGCAGCATACTTCCTTTCCCAAAGCGAATCATCCGCCACCGTGCCTTCAGCACGTAGTGGAGTGTCCCAAGGCTCCTGCAGCCCTGAGACTTGAGAGGCGACCTGAGAGGCAGAGGGGTTGCAAGGTTCGTGAGGGCCCAGCCGCTCCTGGGAGCTCCCGGGAATTCCCGGGAATTCCTGGGAGCTCCTGGGAGCTCCCCGGAGCGGTTCTTAATGGCCCAAACCCCACTTTCCCAAACGCTCCTGGGAGTTCCCTTGGATTCCTGGCAGTTCCCGGGAGTTCTTCGGAGCTCTTTGAATCGAAAAGACCAAAGAGGGCCCAGATTCGCCGAAAGATCGCTGACAACCGACGGCCTCAAACGCCTCCAAGGAGACCGGTGTGGGACTTCCATGGAATCCCCCAGGAACCCTCCGAAAAACACCCGAGAAAACCCCAAATGGAACACCCGAGAAAACCCCAAATGGAAGGGTTTTCGAAGGGTGTCCCCTCCCGTCCCAGGGGGGGCGGGGAGGGGGGAGCTTGCTTTTTTGGGGGGGTCCAGAGGCCCACGTCGAAAAACAGTACGATTTCGGATCCCCCCCCCCAAAAAAAAACCCACCCCTCTCACAAAAACGACAAAACAACAGTAAAACCCAAATGGGTTTTTCCCAACCCTCCTTGGTTGGGTATTCGTTTGGAATAGAGCAGTGTGGTCTCCACTCCTTTCTTCCTTCCCGTCCCGCCTCCCTCTTGCCTCCTCCTGGCTTGCCTGCGGGGGGCTGCGATCTGTGAAACTGTCGCCACTTTCGAGGCCTGCTGGGGGGCCCAGCACAGTGACGCCACGGGCGGATTCAAATTAGACCTCGCCATGCCTGGGGGGCTGCGATCTGTGAAAATGTCGCCACTTTCGAGGCCTGCTGGGGGGCCCAGCACAGTGACGCCACGGGCGGATTCAAATTAGACCTCGCCATCCCTGGGGGGCTGCGATCTGTGAAACTGTCGCCACTTTCGAGGCCTGCTGGGGGGCCCAGCACAGTGACGCCACGCGCGGACCCAAATTAGACCTCGCCATCCCTGGGGGGCTGCGATCTGTGAAACTGTCGCCACTTTCGAGGCCTGCTGGGGGGCCCAGCACAGTGACGCCACGGGCGGATTCCAAATTAGACCTCGCCATCCCTGGGGGGCTGCGATCTGTGAAACTGTCGCCACTTTCGAGGCCTGCTGGGGGGCCCAGCACAGTGACGCCACGGGCGGATTCAAATTAGACCTCGCCATCCCTGGGGGGCTGCGATCTGTGAAACTGTCGCCACTTTCGAGGCCTGCTGGGGGGCCCAGCACAGTGACGCCACGGGCGGACCCAAATTAGACCTCGCCATCCCTGGGGGGCTGCGATCTGTGAAACTGTCGCCACTTTCGAGGCCTGCTGGGGGGCCCAGCACAGTGACGCCACGCGCGGACCCAAATTAGACCTCGCCATCCCTGGGGGGCTGCGATCTGTGAAACTGTCGCCACTTTCGAGGCCTGCTGGGGGGCCCAGCACAGTGACGCCACGGGCGGACCCAAATTAGACCTCGCCATCCCTGGGGGGCTGCGATCTGTGAAACTGTCGCCACTTTCGAGGCCTGCTGGGGGGCCCAGCACAGTGACGCCACGGGCGGACCCAAATTAGACCTCGCCATCCCTGGGGGGCTGCGATCTGTGAAACTGTCGCCACTTTCGAGGCCTGCTGGGGGGCCCAGCACAGTGACGCCGCGGCGGACCCAAATTAGACCTCGCCATCCCTGGGGGGCTGCGATCTGTGAAACTGTCGCCACTTTCGAGGCCTGCTGGGGGGCCCAGCACAGTGACGCCACGCGCGGACCCAAATTAGACCTCGCCATCCCTGGGGGGCTGCGATCTGTGAAACTGTCGCCACTTTCGAGGCCTGCTGGGGGGCCCAGCACAGTGACGCCCCGGGCGGATTCAAATCAGACCTTGCCATCCCTGTACACCTTGCGATCTGTGAAACTGTCGCCACTTTCGAGGCCTGCTGGGGTGCCCAGAGCTAGCGTCACAGGCACCACCTCGTTGAGTCCCCGCACACCGCCCGCAGCGGGTGCAACGCGGGTCTACAACTTGTTTCCTGACTTTGTGGGCTGCGCACGGAGCGTCTGCGATTTTCAATCCCGATTCCAAGCCCTTTTGTGTTCTTGTGCCCGTCACACGGAAGATTGGTTGAATACTATCTTACCCTGGCTGCCGTTCGTCTTTCATCCTCTCCGTGGGTGCCGAAACTGGCGTGGCTTGTTTTGTCTCCTATTATCCTCCCTCCCCCTTTCCTCCCCTCCCTCTTCCCTCCGTTTCCTTTCCTCTCTTGCACGCAATTGTTTTTAAGCAGCCAACATACATTGTTTTTTAATATTTTGCTTGCCTGAGCGCGGACTTGGTGAGAGAAATTGCATAGCGGGATAGGCCGGAAAAATAAACGTCTGCTTCTTCATGGAGAATTTTGGCGTGGTTCGTGGAGCGAGGCAAATTCAGTGCTTCTTTGCAACAATGCTTTTGGTACCGACAACATATCAGAGCTTGACGCCACGCGCGGACCCAAATTAGACCTCGCCATCCCTGGGGGGCTGCGATCTGTGAAACTGTCGCCACTTTCGAGGCCTGCTGGGGGGCCCAGCATAGTGACGCCACGCGCGGACCCAAATTAGACCTCGCCATCCCTGGGGGGCTGCGATCTGTGAAACTGTCGCCACTTTCGAGGCCTGCTGGGGGGCCCAGCACAGTGACGCCACGCGCGGACCCAAATTAGAGCTCTGAGATCCCCGCTTTCGAAGTGGCTAGGGTTGCTCAGGGATTGTAACTAATCAGTTTGATCTAGTCCTTGTCCTGTAGCCAGTGTCCTGCGAGTCTCCCGAATTCCGTCTGCAGACATGTGTAACCCTCGCTCCGTCGTCGCCCCCCTTATAAAGTGTCCTAAACTATTTGCGCCCCGCGTTTGCGCAGGGGTTGGGTACGTCGCCAAGGTAATTTGTTTCGCAGAAATTGTCGGAGGATTTCCAGGAGCGACCGGGCAGAACCTTTCAACTCGCGATTCTGGATAATCCCCCAGGAATCCCTTATTGGGTTTCTGTTTTTGTGTTTCTTTCGGCTGTGTTTTTTCAAAGGTTTTTCCAGGTGCTGAACCCCCAGGGAAACAAAACAAACTTTTGTTGTTGTTCCCAACCCTCCTTGGTTGGGTATTCGTTTTGAATAGAGGGGTGTGGCCGCGTCCTCCTCCTCCCGCCTCCCGCCTCCTCCTGCCCTCTCTTCGCCGACGATGGGGGCTGCGATCTGCGAAACTGTCGCCACTTTCGAGGGCTGCTGGTGGGTCCTACGGAGTGAGGCACCGCGCAGATCTTAGCAAGACCTCGCCGTCCCTGGGGGGCTGCGATCTGCGAAACTGTCGCCACTTTTTCGAGGGCTGCTGGTGGGTCCTGCGGAGTGAGGCACCGCGCAGATCTGAGGGGGACCTCGCCTTGCCTGGGGGGCTGCGATCTGCGAAACTGTCGCTACTTTCGAGGGCTGCTGGTGGGTCCTGCTGAGTGGGGCACCGCGCAGATCTGAGCGGGACCTCGCCATCCCTGGGGGGCTGCGATCTGCGAAACTGTCGCCACTGTCGAGGGCTGCTGGTGGGTCCTGCGGAGTGAGGCACCGCGCAGATCTGAGCGGGACCTCGCTGTCCCTGGGGGGCTGCGATCTGCGAAACTGTCGCCACTTTCGAGGGCTGCTGATGGGTCCTGCGGAGTGAGGCACCGCGCAATCCTGAGCGGGACCTCGCCGTGCCTGGGGGGCTGCGATCTGCGAACTGTCGCCACTTTCGAGGGCTGCTGGTGGGTCCTGCGGAGTGAGGCACCGCGCAAATCTGAGCGGGACCTCGCCGTCCCTGGGGGGCTGCGATCTGCGCCACTTTCGAGGGCTGCTGGTGGGTCCTGCGGAGTGAGCCACCGCGCAGATCTGAGCGGGACCTCGCCGTGCCTGGGGGGCTGCGATCTGCGAAACTGTCGCCACTTTCGAGGGCTGCTGGTGGGTCCTGCGGAGTGAGGCACCGCGCAGATCTTAGCAAGACCTCGCCGTCCCTGGGGGGCTGCGATCTGCGAAACTGTCGCCACTTTCGAGGGCTGCTGGTGGGTCCTGCGGAGTGAGGCACCGCGCAGATTTGAGCGGGACCTCGCAATCCCTGGGGGGCTGCGATCTGCGAAACTGTCGCTACTTTCGAGGGCTGCTGCTGGTGGGTCCAGCGGGGTGAGGCACAGCCCAGATCTGAACGGGACCTCGCAATCCCTGGGGGGCTGAGATCTGCGAAACTGTCGCCACTTTTTCGAGGGCTGCTGGTGGGTCCTGGGGAGTGAGGCACCGCGCAACTCTGAGCGGGACCTCGCCGTCCCTGGGGGGCTGCGATCTGCGAAACTGTCGCCACTTTCGAGGGCTGCTGGTGGGTCCTGCGGAGTGAGGCACCGCGCACATCTGAGCGGGACCTCGCCGTCCCTGGGGGGTTGCGATCTGCGAAACTGTCGCCAACTTCGAGGGCTGCTGGTGGGCCCAGCGGAGTGAGGCACCACGCAGATCTGAGCGGGACCTCGCCATGCCTGGGGGCTGCGATCTGTGAAACTGTCGCCACTTTCGAGGCCTGCTGGGGGGCCCAGCACAGTGACGCCACGGGCGGACCCAAATTAGACCTCGCCATCCCTGGGGGGCTGCGATCTGTGAAACTGTCGCCACTTTCGAGGCCTGCTGGGGGGCCCAGCACAGTGACGCCACGGGCGGACCCAAATTAGACCTCGCCATCCCTGGGGGGCTGCGATCTGTGAAACTGTCGCCACTTTCGAGGCCTGCTGGGGGGCCCAGCACAGTGACGCCACGCGCGGACCCAAATTAGACCTCGCCATCCCTGGGGGGGCGACCTGTGAAACTGTCGCCACTTTCGAGTCCTGCTGGGGGGCCCAGCACACTGACGCCACGGGCGGATTCAAATTAGACCTTGCAATCCCTGGGGGGCTGCGATCTGTGAAACTGTCGCCACTTTCGAGGCCTGCCCTCCAGGTGGTGTCGTCGCTGCCTGTTGGGGGGCCCAACACAATGACGCCACGCGCGGACCCAA